CCCAGATGAGCATGGGGACACCTAGACGGGCATGCGGACACCCGGACGAGCATGGGGACACCTGGACGGGCATGGGGACACACAGACGGGCATGGGGACACACAGATGGGCATGGGGACACTTGGACAAGCATGGGGACATATAGACAGGCATGGGGACACATGGCTGGGCATGGGGACATCTGGATGGGCATAGGGACACACAGATGGGCATGGGGACACCTAGACAGGCATGGGGACACCCAGTCGGGCATGGGGACACCCGGACGAGCATGGGGACACCTGGACGGGCATGGGGACACACAGATGGGTATGGGGACGGGGACAAACCGATGGGCATGGGGACACACAGATGGGCATGGGGATGCCCGGACGGGCATGGGGACACATGGATGGGCATGGGGACACAAGGATGGGCATGGGGACACCCGGAGGGGAATGGGGACACATGGATGGGCATGGGGACATACAGACGGGCACGGGGACACCTGGACGGGCATGGGGACACACAGACGGGCATGGGGATGCCCAGATGGGCATGGGGACACCTGGATGGGCATGGGGATGCCCAGATGGGCATGGGGACACATGGATGGGCATGGGGACACAAGGATGGGCATGGGGACACCTGGAGGGGAATGGGGACACATGGATGGGCATGGGGACATACAGACGGGCACGGGGAAACCTGGACGGGCATGGGGACACACAAACAGGCATGGGGATGCCCAGATGGGCATGGGGACACATGGATGGGCATGGGGACACAAGGATGGGCATGGGGACACCTGGAGGGGAATGGGGACACATGGATGGGCATGGGGACATACAGACGGGCACGGGGAAACCTGGACGGGCATGGGGACACACAAACAGGCATGGGGATGCCCAGATGGGCATGGGGACACATGGATGGGCATGGGGACACCTGGACGGGCATAGGGACACACAGACGGGCATCTGGATGCCCAGACGGGCATGGGGACACCTGGACGGGCATGGAGACACCTAGACAGGCAAGGGGACACCCAGTCGGGCATGGGGACACCTGGACGGGCATGGGGATGCCCAGTCGGGCATGGGGACACAAGGATGGGCATGGGGATGCCCAGATGGGCATGGGGACACCTAGACAGGCATGGGGACACCCAGTCGGGCATGGGGACAGCCAGACAAGCATGGGGACACCCGGACGGGCATGGGGACACAAGGATGGGCATGGGGACCCCCCGATGGGCATGGGGACACATGGATGGGCATGGGGACACCTGGACGGGCATAGGGCCACACAGACGGGCATCTGGATGCCCAGACGGGCATGGGGACGCCCAGTCGAGCATGGGGACACCTGGACGGGCATGGAGACACCTAGACAGGCAAGGGGACACCCAGTCGGGCATGGGGACAGCCAGACAAGCATGGGGACACCCGGACGGGCATGGGGACACAAGGATGGGCATGGGGACCCCCCGATGGGCATGGGGACACATGGATGGGCATGGGGACACCTGGACGGGCATAGGGCCACACAGACGGGCATCTGGATGCCCAGACGGGCATGGGGACGCCCAGTCGAGCATGGGGACACCTGGACGGGCATGGAGACACCTAGACAGGCAAGGGGACACCCAGTCGGGCATGGGGACAGCCAGACAAGCATGGGGACACCCGGACGGGCATGGGGACACAAGGATGGGCATGGGGACCCCCCGATGGGCATGGGGACACATGGATGGGCATGGGGACACCTGGACGGGCATAGGGCCACACAGACGGGCATCTGGATGCCCAGACGGGCATGGGGACGCCCAGTCGAGCATGGGGACACCTGGACGGGCATGGAGACACCTAGACAGGCAAGGGGACACCCAGTCGGGCATGGGGACAGCCAGACAAGCATGGGGACACCCGGACGGGCATGGGGACACAAGGATGGGCATAGGGACACCTGGACGGGCATGGGGATGCCCAGATGGGCATGGGGACACCTAGACAGGCATGGGGACACCCAGTCGGGCATGGGGACACCCGTACGAGCACGGGGACACCTGGACGGGCATGGGTACACACAGATGGGTATGGGGACACATGGATGGGCATGGGGACACTCGGACGAGCATGGGGATACCTATACGGGCATGGGGACACCTAGATGGGCATGGGGACACCCGGACAGGCATGGGGATGCCCAGACGGGCATGGGGACACCTGGACAGGCATGGGGACACTCGAATGGGCATGGAGACACATAGATGGGCATGGGGTGCCCAGGCGGGCATAGGGACACACAGATGGTTATAGGGACAGCTGCACAGGCATGGGGACACCCGGAAGGGCATAGGGACACCTGGATGGGCACGGGGACATACAGATGGGCATGGGGACACATGGATGGGCATGGGGATGCCCAGAAGGGCATGGGGACACCCGGACGTCCATCCCTGTGCCCACCTTGACGGCATCTCCAACCTCCCAGGCTGAGACAGCCGCCAACCGCATCTGCAAAGTCCTGGCCGTGAACCAGGAGAACGAGAAGCTCATGGAGGAGTACGAGAAGCTGGCGAGCGAGGTGGGTCCCCGGACGCCCGGGCCCCTCGTCCCGCCGCCTCCCGCCCCGTAACCCCCGGCGCCTCCGCAGCTCCTGGAGTGGATCCGCCGCACGGTGCCCTGGCTGGAGAACCGGGCTCCCGAGAGCAGCATGGGGGCCATGCAGCGCAAGCTGGAGGATTTCCGCGACTACCGGCGCGTGCACAAGCCGCCGCGCGTGCAGGAGAAGTGCCAGCTGGAGATCAACTTCAACACGCTGCAGACCAAGCTGCGCCTCAGCAACCGCCCCGCGTTCATGCCCTCCGAGGGGAAGATGGTGTCGGTGAGTGCTGGTGGCACCCGCGGGGACGTTGGGGACAGCGGTGGCCTCACGGCGTTGTCCCCGTCGGCGCCAGGACATCGCCAACGCCTGGAAGGGGCTGGAGCAGGTGGAGAGGGGCTACGAGGAGTGGCTGCTCACCGAGATCCGGCGCCTGCAGCGCCTCGACCACCTGGCCGAGAAGTTCAAGCACAAGGCGACGCTGCACGAGAACTGGACGCGGGGTGAGCGCGGGGACGGCCCCGTGGTGGCCCTGTGACCCGGTCCCCGTCCGTGTCCCTCCGAGGTGTCACGATGGCCTCAGCACCTCCAGGAGGTCCTCAGTGCTCCCAAACACCCTTGGGAGGTCCTCACTGTCCCATAGGGCCCCCCATGAGGTGGTGCCACCCCTGGGAGGTCTTGGGCACCCATTAGGATCCCCATGATCCCACATCAAGGTCCTGCCACCTCCTGTCCTGCCCCATGGACCCTCCCAAGGTCCCTACCACCCCCAGGACCTCCACAATGTCCTGCCACCCCCATGGTGCCCCCATGAAGCCCCCAGCAGCCCCAGGACTCCTGCAAGCTCCTGCCACCGCCCGGGACCCTCCCGAGGTCCTGTCACCCGTCATGTCACCCCCGTGTCACCCCCCACAGGCAAAGAGGAGCAGCTCTCGCTGCGGGACTACGAGTC